CTGCACATTCTGCTGTCTCCAAAGTACTGGCCTGAGGTGACAGTCAAGCTTGCCTTTTTCGAGCGGTTCCTGGTGGCCGCGGATTTCAGCACGAGCAATGTGTTGGGCTACTGTTTGAACGCGCTGGAAGTTTTGGGTGTCGCGCTGGAGTGGAAGCCTGCCGAATGGATCGTGTCGAACTTGGAATATTTGCAGAAACTGCTTGAAAAATGTATCCGTTCCGACAACCACGATATCCAGGAGGCGTTGCAGAAGGTGCTGAACCTGATTCTAAGTGCAATCAACAAGCAGGTGCCGGCCACACAAGAGGAGCAACCCGAGGAGGTGACGAACTTCCTTACTTTCTTGACCAACGTGATCTCCGAAGACCTGAATAGCATGAACTCTGTCGCTGCGGGCGTGACTCTTTCGTGGACGCTGGCGCAGCACAAACCAGATGCCCAGAATGCCCAGATTCCGCTGATTATGCGCACGCTGAGCAAGCTCGTGAAGGACCACATCGCCATAGCAAGCCAGAATAGACAGCTCAGCAACTCGGCCGAACAGAGCGCGTACCAGACGGACTACGAGGCAAAAATGACAACGAAACTGCTGAAGAAAATTCTCGACTTTTCGAGCATGCGTATCTCTGTGCTTGGCGACCAGCGGCGCATCTTTTTGTCCCTGCTGGTGCAGCTGATCGACCGGTCTGTCGACAAGGACCTTTTGATGCGCATCATCGACATTGCGCGCGGCTGGGTCTTTGCGAAAAACGAGCTGTTCCCGACAACCAAGGAGAACGCCGGAATACTGTCCAAGATGATGGTATTCGAGATGAAGGGCGATCCAGAGCTATCAAGAGCGTTCTACCAGATCATTATCGACATCTTCAAGGACCCAGCGCTCGCCGGCACCGAGCTGACCGTACGCATGGAGCATCCGTTCCTTGTGGGCACGAAACTCTCCGACACAGGCGTTCGTCGCGAGTTGATGAGCATCCTGGACCGGTCGCTGGAAAAAGACCTTGACAAACGGCTCTTCTATATTGTGCGTGAACAGAACTGGGAGTACCTGGCCGAGTATCCATGGCTGAACCAGGCTGCGCAGCTGCTCTATGGCAGCTTTGACTTTGACCATGTTTTGAGGTACACAGACAACGAGTACAAACTGGCTGCTCTGCGTGATATCGACGAGGCGTTGCCGAAACGTGGCACACAGGATCCTGCTGTTCGCGAGCCGGTGAAGGCCTTTGTCAGCAAGCACACCGACTTCCTCAACACTCACGTGCGCGTGCGCGCACGTGACGTGCTGGAGCCCCTGATGGACATCTCGTACCAGAGCCCGGAAACAATCCACAACTCGTGGTGCACGCTGTTCCCTATCGCGTACGGCGCGATAGACCACCGCAACAAGGCAGACTTTTTGCACTCGTTTGTGACACTGCTGTCGAAAGACTACCACGTGCGGCAGCAGGACGGCAAGCCGAACGTTATCCACACGATGCTGGAGGCCGCAGGCAAATGCCCGGATCTGCAGCTGCCGCCGCACCTGGTCAAGTATCTTGGGCTGAACTACGACGCATGGTACTCGGGAGTGCGCATCATGGAGCAGATCGAGACAAATCCCGTCACCGAGAACCAGAAAATCAAAGAGACAAACCGGGACGCGCTCGTTGAGATGTACTCGAACCTGCAGGAGGACGACATGTTCTACGGGATGTGGCGGCGCAGGGCCAAGTATTTTGAGACAAACTCAGCGCTGTCGTACGAGCAGATCGGCCTCTGGGACAAGGCGTTGCAGTTGTACGAGAACGCGCAGATCAAGGCCCGCAGCGGCGTGCTGCCGTACAGCGAGAGCGAATATGCTCTATGGGAAGACAACTGGATTTTGTGTGCAGAAAAGCTACAGCACTGGGACATCCTCACCGAGCTGGCAAAACACGAAGGGTTCACGGACCTGCTACTGGAGTGCGGCTGGCGCGTGGCGGACTGGATCTCCGACAGAGAACCGCTCGAGCAGAGCGTGAAGACGGTGATGGACGTGCCGACACCGCGCAGACAGATGTTCCAGACGTTCCTGTGTCTGCAAGGCTACGCGCACAGCAAGGAGACAATCCAGAACGTGACCCGGTACTGCGACGAGGGCATCCAACTGGCGCTGCGCAAGTGGCACTCGTTGCCCACAAGAATCACCGGCGCGCACATCTCGCTGCTGCACATTTTCCAGCAGTACGTGGAGTTCATGGAGGCGAGCCAGGTGTACCGCAGTCTGGCCACCACGACGGCACAGAACCTGGACGTCAAGAGTCAGGAGCTCAAGCGCGTGCTGCAGGCGTGGCGCGAGCGGCTGCCGAACATCTGGGACGACATCAATATCTGGAACGACCTGGTCACGTGGCGCCAGCACGCGTTCAACGTGATCAACAAGGTGTACATGCCGCTGATTCCTGCGTTGCAGCAGAACAACAGCAACAACAACTCGTACGCGTTCCGCGGCTACCACGAGATCGCCTGGGTGATCAACCGGTTTGCGCACGTCGCCAGAAAGCACAACATGCCTGAGGTCTGCATCAACCAGCTCACCAAGATCTACACTCTGCCCAACATCGAGATTCAGGAGGCGTTCCTCAAGCTGCGCGAGCAGGCCAAGTGCCACTACCAGAACCCGGCCGAGCTGAGCACCGGGCTGGATGTGATCAGCAACACCAACCTCGTGTACTTTGCCGCGCAGCAGAAGGCTGAGTTCATCACGCTCAAGGGCATGTTCTTGGCCAAGCTCAACTCTCCAGACGAGGCAAACCAGGCTTTTGCCACCGCTGTGCAGCTCGACCTCAACTTGCCCAAGGCGTGGGCCGAATGGGGCTTCTTCAACGACGCCCGTTTCAAAGAGAGCAACGACATCGCGTACGCCAAGCACGCCATCAGCTGCTACCTGCAGGCGGCCGGATTGTACAAGAACAACAAGGCGCGCCGGCTGCTTTGCCGTATTCTGTGGCTGATAAGTCTGGACGACGCCAGCGGCACCCTGGCCGAGACGTTCGAGTCGCACCAGGGCGAGATGCCCGTGTGGCACTGGATCACGTTCATTCCGCAGCTGCTCACATCGCTGTCGCACCGCGAAGCGCGGCTGGCGCGTCACGTGCTCATCCGCATCGCCAAGTCGTATCCACAGGCGCTGCATTTCCAGCTGCGCACCACCAAGGAGGACTTTGCCGTGCTACAGCGGCAGATGACGCAGCGGCCGGATTCCAACGGCGACAACGCGCCAACGAGTCCAGAGGCGCTCGCACAGCACCCGACAGGAGCCACGCCTGCAGGCAGCTCGTCGCCCGCGCCAGGATCGACGCCGGGTGTCAATTCGCAACCGTGGCAGCATGTGGAGGAGATCATGGGCATTCTGAAGACCGCGTACCCGCTACTAGCCCTGTCGCTCGAGTCTCTTGTTGACCAGATCAGCCAGCGGTTCAAGAGCAGCCACGACGACGATGCGTACCGGCTCGTGGTGGCCCTGTACAACGACGGCGTGCAGTACTTCAACCGGCTCACGAACCCAAAGGAGGACGCGCGCCTGCCGCCTGCCACAGAGGCCAACATTATCCGATTCGCAGACACGGTACTGCCGAAACATATTCGCGAGGAGTTTGACGTGGACATCATCAAGAGCAAGCCGAACCTCGAGACTTACATCAGCAAGCTGCGCAAGTGGAAGGATTGTTTGGAGGAGAAGCTGGACCGCAGTTTCGGCAAGATGAACATGGAGCGCGTGTGTCCGCATTTGAGCCAGTTCCACCACCAGAAATTCGAGGACATCGAGATCCCGGGCCAGTACCTGCTCAACAAGGAGACCAACAACCATTTCGTCAAAATCGAGAGGTTTTTGCCGACGCTGGAGCTCATTCGCGGTCCGACAGCGTGCTACAAGCGTATCACGATCCGTGGCCACGACGGCAGCCTGCACTCGTTCGCGGTGCAGTTCCCAGCCGCGCGCCACTGCCGCCGCGAGGAGCGCATTTTCCAGCTGTTCCGCATCTTCAACGACGCGCTCTCAAAGAACGTCCAGGCCAGAAGACGCAACATCGAGCTTACGCTGCCCGTGGCGATCCCGCTCAGCCCGCACATCCGCATCATGAGCGACAGCGAGGACTACGTCAACATGCTAAGCATCTACGAGGACTACTGTCGCCAGAGCGGGCTCAACAAGGACGAGCCGTTCGCGTACACGATTGAGAAGCTACACGCCGCGTATGACCCGCGGCTGCCGAAGCCCGACATCCTCAGCGTCAAGACAGAGATCCTGGCGGCCATCCAATCGACGCTCGTGCCAAGCACCGTCATGAAGGATTACTTCCTCAAGCACTACACCCGGTTCGAGGAGTTCTGGCTGTTCCGCAAGCAGTTCACGTCGCAGTACGCCTCATTCATCTTCATGACGTACATGCTGTGCATCAACTCGAGACAGCCGCAGAAAATCCATATCAACCAGAGCTCCGGCCGCGTGTGGACGTCCGAAATGCTGCCGTACAAGGTGGCCAGCGGCAAGACGCACTCGAACGCGTTTGCCAACAGCACGCTCGATGTGTCGGCGCAGCGCGCAGCACCGCTGTTCTGCTCGCTCGAGATGGTGCCCTTCCGTCTTACTCCCAACGTGCAGAAGCTGATTGGCGAGGCCGGCATGGAGGGCATCCTGTCTGCGCACATCATGATCATCGCGCAGTGTCTGAGCGACCCGGAGTACGAGATGGAGCACTTCTTGAGTCTTTTCGTGCGCGACGAGGTGGTGGCCTGGTTCACGCAGCAGCACAGACCCTCTGCGGGCGACCCGCACCTGCGCGAGATCGTCAGGGTCAACGTCAATTTTGTCACCAAGCGTGTGGCGCAGCTCGGCCACATGGAGGGCCAGGGCATTGCGTCGCAGTTCATCCTCAACCTCATTGCGCACGCCGTCAACCCGCGCAACCTCGCCAGCACAGACACTCTGTGGATGGCATACATGTAACTTTGCAAAATATACTGGTATTAGATCTATTTAGCCGTGCTGCGGCGTGTCTTGATGCATCGCTCGTAGAAGTCGTCCGGCAGATTGTCTCTGGCCCATTCGTGCTCGCCCTCACGCTCGATGCGGTGCAGATACCGGATGAGCCTGTTTCTTGTGATCACAAAGTTCACGAGGCTCATCAGAAACCCAAACACCGTCAGACTCAGGCTCACCACCTGAAACACCTTGATCATGCTGGTGACGTCGATTTTCTTGGTGCGTTTGGAAACGTAGTCGAAATCAACCAGCAGCACCCGCTCTGTCTTGAAGATCCGCACCGTGGACCAGACAGACAGCGCCAGAGCCACTGCCTGAATGCACACGCACACCACAAAACCCTGGCACGCGCGCACCTCCTTGCGAAGGCTCTCGAACGGGTTCTCCAGGTTCTCCTCCATGGTGCTGGCTATGAGGATCGGGAAGAAGTACGACGCAAATATATTGTACAGCATCGACACACTGTAGATGGCGGGTCTATTTTCAACCTCAAAGTACACGAACCCGGCGTAACTGAGCCCCAGTTGTGCCATCATGAAGGCTATGTAGATGAGCATCGAGGAGAACATCTTGGGATCGGAGAAAATGGCGTCCCAGTTGGCCACCTCGGTGATCCGGGCTGGGCGGATATCGGCAGGACAGCCGTGTGCCTCCAAAAGCAGCCGAAACGTGGATATATTGTTGCGGGAGGCCATGGTAGCTGATGGTAGCCAGATATATTTTATTTATTTTTTCAGCAAGCGCTCAAAACGGCAGAGCACAGACGAGGAGAGGTGCACCCCCTCGCGCACCCACACCCCGTACGAGCCCATCATGTTTGCCATCAGGATGTCTGTGAATAGACGGTCGCCCACGACGGCGATCTCGTGCGGCGCCACGCCACGCTGCTCGAACCAGGCCACGATCTCAGGCCAGCACCCGGGCTTCTTGGTGGAGTGCCGCAGAACAGGCACCCCGGTATTTTTTTCGAGCCGCTGCGCCTGGCCGTCCACGTCGTCATTTGTGCCTGCCGAGTTGCTCACAATAAGCAGTCTTCCGGGGTATTCTTTCTTGAGAGAGCTCCAGCGCTCCTCGTAAGCGGGCCACACTCTGTCGTCGTTGTCTCTTGCAATGCAGTTGTCCTTGTCCAGAACCATGCCTCTTATGTGGGGGATGCTATGTGGAAGGTGCTGGAACGTGGGGACAACCAGTTGCGGGTTCACCAGCGCCGGGTTGGCAACGATTTTCCAAAAGTGCAGCGTAGCACTCAAATTAAGCATGAAAAAAAAAGTTCGAAAAATATCATGTCCTGTATAGTGTGCACGAACCCGATCAAAATCAGGGCCGTTACACCCTGCAAGCACGACACGTGCCACGTGTGCGCGTTCAGGACCCGTGCGCTCTACCACAAGAAACAGTGTCTGGTGTGTCGTACAGAGAATGACAGAGTGCTGTTTGCCGACTCCGAGAGCCAGACAGTCGCAGTGTCCGACGACAAGTACGCCATCGACTTCACGTCGCACGACGCCAAGAAGCAGACGCTTGACCTGCTGCTCAACAAATGTCCTAGGTGCAGTACTGTCTTCACCACTTTCAAGCAGCTCAGTGAGCACGTTTCCACCCAGCACGACAGATTTTTTTGCAATATTTGCGCCAACCAGAAAAACCAGTTTGTGTGCGAGCTCAAGCTCTACACGTCACGACAGCTGCACCAGCACCAGGCCAAGGGCGATCAGAATGGATTCAAGGGCCACCCGCAGTGCCGGTTCTGCACTGGGAAGCGGTTCTACAGCGACGACGAACTGTTTGTTCACATGCGTGATAAGCACGAGAAATGCCATATCTGCGACCAGATCGACGCTACAAAGCCGCAGTATTTCCGCAACTATGACCATCTCGCGTCGCACTTCCGCGACGCGCACTATGTTTGCAACGTGCAGTCCTGCCTGGACCAGAAGTTTGTCGTGTTCCGCGACGAGCTGGACCTGCGGGCGCACCAGATCAAGGAGCACGGCTCCATTCTGGGCCGCGACCGCAAGCTGCCGGCGTTTGGCGGCAAGCTGACCATCGAGAGAAAGAAGCCGGACGAGCCCAAGGACACCTACGAGACCAAAAAGCTGCGACTCGACGAGCGAGCTAGACATTACTTGAACTATGACCAGGCCAAGGTGGACGAGTTCCAGAGGCTGGTGGGCGAGTTCGGCAAGAACGGCAACGAGCGCGCGGTGCTTGCGAACTTGCGCCAGCTTTTTGTGGAGAGCTCAGCTGAAGATCTGGGTTTGCTGCTGCTAGAGCTCAAGGAGCTGTTCCCGAAAAACTCGTCCCCACACAAATTTCTTGAGACAGAGCTGAAAAGCCACAATCGCGAAAAGCTGCTGGACGAGCAGTTCCCTGCGCTCAGCACTGCGCCAGCGGCGCGGCCCGTGGGACCGTGGGGCCAGAACCAGCCCACAACGGGGCTGCGCAAAGCGCCGCCCCCGAAGTTGAAGCCTGTCGTCAATAGAGGCACCTCGCCAAACGTGCGGCTGACGTACCTCAACAATTCGCAGCCCAAGCCACAAGCCCCGGCTCTGGACGACCAGCTGTTCCCGAAACTGCCCAGTGCCCAGAAACCCAAGCCACCAAGGGTCAACCCGGTCAACACCTCGATCGGACAATGGGGTCAGGGCTTACAGCAACGACGCGAAGAGCCCGACTTCGAGATCAGAAAGGGCAAGAAGGGCAAGCAGGTGCTGTTCCGAATGGGTGTTAATAGAAACTGATCCGTGGCCCTTATGTATTGTTCATAGACACTTATCGTAGAGGCAACAGCTGCGACTCTCTCATTTTGGCCCTGCACAACGGACACTCCTGGCGCTCCTTGACCCAGTCCAGCACGCACTTCCAGCAGAAGACGTGGCCGCACTCGCCGCATGATGGGTCTTTCATCGGCGACAGACACAGCATGCACGTGCGCGAAGCCTCAGGCAGGTACGGCAGCACCTTTGGGTCTGCAAGGTCTATAACGTCGCTCGTCTGGTCTCTGAACCTGTAGATTAAATCTCCCGAGTCCTGCACGGTCTCGGTGGCCCCCCACAGTTTTCGCAAGTTTGCCACGTTCTTGAAGACTGTCTGAAAAATGATCAGCAGTCCCAGCAACTCGTAGTTGCCTCGCGCTCCCTGCTGATTTTTGTCGACTCGGTACCCAAACGCATATCGCAGACCAAAGAGTCTTTTCGCAAACTGATAGTATTTGCCCGTGAAGTAGAAGAGCGCCAGATGGAGATTCAAAAGATCCATCACGTTCATGTAGCTGACTCCGGAGACCAGTTGTGCTAGCCGGCTTTGCTGTGATTTCAGTTTTTGAAGCAATTGGCGAACAGCATAGGGGAAGAGCACATACGCCACGACAAAGCCAAATCGGGACGCAAATTTCGGTATCTTGCGTCCGTCACGACTCACATACACCAGATCCACGTACTCCTCGCCCAGCGTCTTGGAACCCACCAATGTTGTGAGACACAGATAAAGAGCCGTGGCCAGGGTTCGCAGCTCCTCCGGGTACTTGTGGACAAAGTGAGAGCCTTTTATGGCCTTCACAACGTCTAAGAGCTGGTTGTGCAGCCTCGACTCAAAATATGAATCCTTCTGGTTGGCCCGCACAATCGCTGGAGCATTGGCAAAAGACAAAAGCTTAAACATAAAAAGGAATAATTATTTAGCCTAGCAAGACGCAAATATTAGCCCATTCGTAATTGATATTTTTAGTGAAATCGTACATAGAAGAAAAGCAAAACCCTACGTACACGGTCTCCAGATCCCAACCTCGACGTCCCAGCCGCTGAAAGTCTTGAACACACGTGTCTTTTTGGTCCACCGCTTGCACGGTCTTCCTGAGCGATCAAGCTCACCCGAAAGACCACTTGCCCGCGCCTTGCTCCCCGTGGGCGTTTCTGCTCGGCTGGGAGTCTCTTCCACTACCGGAGACGAAGGCACGCCCGGTTTTTTTAGCGGCTTGATGATGATCCGCCTCTTTTTATCGTTCTCGTCTGTTCCTTCAATTCGCACGGGCGACGCCACAGCATCCTCCTCGTGGTTCACCTTTGCCTTCGGCTTGCGCTTCGTGCGCGACAGCTCCGTAGGCAGATCCGGAAACTGTGCCAGCGCTGTCGGCGAGAGCTGCAGCTTGACCAGCTTGGACATTGAATTTAAGAAACTAATTTTTTTTTACGTCAGCACAGATAAATAGTGCTCGTCTATTAATGTGTCTAGGGCTGTCATATACCGAAATCGCCTTTCATGAGAGCATTGCGGGCCTGGGTCTTGTTTGTATTCTGGTTCTTGTTCTTGTGTCGGGGCGCAAGGCCGACAGGAGCTGGCGCAAAATGGCCACCACCATAAGCTGGCGCAGGTGCGTAACCCTGAGGAGGAATAGGAGCCGCAGCGTAGCCATTTGGTAGAGGGTAGCCTCCGTAGGGAGCGCCATGTGGAACAGCATAGCCGCTTGGTGGCGGCGCCGGGTATGTACGGTATTTGGGGTATTGTGGATAGTAGTTCATAGGCATTGGTTGCACTGCCTGCATCGGAGGAGGCATTCTGCCGCGTTGTTCCAAGCTGGGAGAGCCGTAGGGAGACTGTGCCAGGTGTTCCGGTGACGGTGATAGGCTCTGGCCGTAGCGCATCGGAGACGACGAGCGGGACCGTGGTGTCGAAGACACGTAGGCAGGATGAGGAGCGTTGATGCCGTAGCCCATAGCCGGTGCGCCTTGGTGAGAGTAGCGTTGCATGGCCTGGTTTGGAAGAGATGGTGGCGCCGTCTGGACAGGAGCGCGTGATTGAATAGGAGGCGAGAGCGTAGGTTTCTGAGGCGACGGATCAGCTGAGTCTCTGGGGTCCTCGTCATCCTTCAAGACATCCATCAGTTCAGACTCCAAACTCTCGATATCGTCAAAAATCTTGGAATTGCGTATCTGCTGCTGCAACTTTGGCGGCTCAAAGTTGGATATGGAAACTGAAGCCGGTGACGAGGCTGCCATTGGTGCCGAAGACGGAGATGCTGGGGCAGCAGGGGTAGTGGCCTCTGGAGGAATTTTTGCAAAGGCAGGTCCCAGTGTCTGATGTGAAAAGGAGCCCTGCATAACTGTATGCTTTGCCAGTGGAAGAGGTTTTTGGTTGTACGACCCAGGAGAGTTTTGCATACCATTAGCAGACTGTTCACTGAGATGTGTCTGCTGCAGCTGGGTAGCAAAGTGGTCGTCCTTCGGTGGTGGGAGTCTGTTATTAACGTGAACGGGATTGTTGGCCGGCAGACTGGCTGGAGGTGGCAACGAGGATTTTGGATTGCCAACCTCATGTGATTGTTCGCTAATGGGTCTCATTGGTGGCGGTTTTAATTCGTCTTTCACAGGAGACGGAGTTTTCACTTCAGTATTATTGGAGCTCCCGCTATTGGCTTTGAGTCCGCGCTCATTGGGAGGGCTGGGAGACCCATTCTCTTTTCCGTTTGGAGTGCTTAGGAAATCCTTATCTGGCACAGGAGGAGGCGGCAACGGGCTCGTTCGATATGGCTTGGACGGAAGAGGCTCGGACATCTTATTAGTGATATCATTCAGGTCTTTGCTCTCGGACACAACCCTCGTTCTATTGGCCGACTTCATTTTCTCGACCTCCTTCTCAGCCTCACGAATCTTGTCTTGCAAATCCTTGAGTCTTTCCCGCTTGAGCTCTATCTCAATATCATAGCCATCCCTTTCAATATCCTGCTCTTCCACAATGACCCATTTCTTGAATCCTTCTGCTAGCTCGACCTCTAGGATGTAGGTTTTACCAAACATTTTCTTTTTGGCACTAGTCTCCTCGCTACCTAGGGAAGCCAACCATGTCCATATGAAGTAGTCGTCTATAGTAGCCCTCGAAACGGTAGCTGTAAAGTAATCGGCGTCGCGCAGCTCGACGGGCTTGGGAGATGTCATATCTTCTGACCAACCTGGAATAAGCTTGTAAGCCAGCTTGTTACCCGACGTGCCATCGCTGATCATGTCTTCGTCGTATATGCACATATTGTCCAAAAGACGGCTTCCTTCGCTCGAGAGTTTGCTTATGAGACCGTCCACATCTTTGAATAGCCGCTTGAGTAGTAGATAGTCTTCTCTTGTGTAGAATACGGTGGGGTCGTTGAATTTCAGGGTCTTGGAGACTCTTACCAACAGTTCTGCCGGGTTCTTTGACGGGTTGTTCACCTTGATTGTGACCATCGGCACCTCCTGCAGAAAACGCGAGGACGAATTGGAGGTAGTTGTTGCCGGTGGAGGGTATGGTGTATTTTTCAGAATGTGTTGTAGTGATTTGGGCAGCTTTTCGATCTGGCCCTTTGGCGGCATCGAGTTCAGGAAGGAAAGCAGTAAATGGAAGGTTGCGTCACCTGCAGGTATCCACTCGTACATGCCTCTCTCGAAACTTGGGGTTTCGTTTTGCCGTTTCTTCACGGGATGGAACGCCCACAGGCCACATAGCCTGGCCACCTTCTTTGCGCTAAGCATGTTGTGCTTTGAGTTGAGGATCAGAGCAACGATGAGGTCAAAGAAATCATAGACGATCGACGCATGTGCGCCCGACGAAAGACAGCTCGGCATGAACTCCAAAAACGCACGTTTGGGGAAGCCTGCCTCCTCGTCAAGCGTGACGAACTTGGTGTACGTCTTCCAGCCGATCACGCAGTTTCCAGGGAGTCGACACCAGAAAAATTTGAGCGCGCTTATCAGCACGTAGGGGCTCACTTGTCTAACTTGTTGGCGGATTATCTCTGGATCTGCCACTTTTCCGTCCTCGAATATCTCATTTAAAAATGACTTCAGAGCCGGATCGTGTTGTTGCGGCCTGAATGGCAGTAGCAGATACGGCGTTTTTGTTCCTTGGCGCTTAATTTCGGACGTGATGACGTGGATCGCATCTTTCACGTCTTTCCTCTGGAATTCCACGTCGTACTTGTCGCCAGCGAGGCCATACCGGTACTGTGTCTTTGGTTTGTAGTCTGCTGCGGCTGCTCTGTCCAGATCTGCACTGTAGATAAACGAGCCCACCTCTTCAGGTGCGGCCATTTTAAAGGCAGGCAGGCTGGGAAGTGGTTTGGCCATGGGAACAACACAAGGAAAAATGGAAAACAAAAATAGAAAGTGGAAAAAGATCAAGGGGACAGCAAAGGCGGATACACAGATTTTGAAAGAAGCTCAGCAGTAACCCGTACCAGTTCCTTTAGGTATATGGCGCTGGACAGCAAAAATAGACTGCTTTTGGCAGCATTGGGACCTCTGTGGTTGGCCTGTGTGAATGTATTCCACCCGAGCCTGTGCGTCGTTATTTGGACGATCGACGCACAAAAAAAACTTAGACCTCCATGATTTTAAGTGACTCTGAGATCGCCACTCTCAAGGCGACAAAAACCATTGGCATCATCGGCCTCGGCGACATGGGTCTCCTGTATGCCCGTCGATTTAGCCAGGCCGGCTGGAACGTGTGTGGCTGCGACAGAGAGGAGAACTACGAAAAGTTCAGCGCCGAGCCGTTTGAGGTGTTAAAAAACGGGCATCTGGTCTCGCGTAAAAGCGACTTGGTCATCTACAGCGTGGAGGCCGAGAACATCGCCAAGGTTGTCAAGATGTACGCGCCGTCGACCAAGCTGGGCGCTGTCGTGGGCGGCCAGACCTCCTGCAAACAGGTCGAGATCCGGGCGTTTGAAGAGTATTTACCCCAGGACCTGGATATCGTGTCCATGCACTCGCTGCATGGACCGAACGTTGACACCACGGGCCAGCCGCTGGTGCTGATCAAACACCGCGCGTCCGACGCCAGCTTCAACCTGGTGGAGTCGTTACTGTCGTGTCTCAAGTCCAAACACGTTTATTTGAGCTACCAGGAACACGACAGAATCACAGCCGACACTCAGGCTGTGACGCACGCGGCATTTCTCAGCATGGGCGTTGCCTGGCACAACAACAACCAGTACCCCTGGGAGACGCCGAAATGGTTGGGCGGAATAGAGAATGCCAAGATCAACATCAGTCTCAGAATCTACAGCAACAAGTACCACGTCTACGCAGGCCTCGCAATCACGAACCCGTCCGCCCACGAGCAGATTTTGCAGTACGCCAACTCGTGCACGGAGCTGTTTTCGCTCATGATCCAGAACAAGGGCGACGAGCTGCGGCGCAGAGTGTTTGCTGCCAAACAGGCCGTTTTCGGGAAGCTACCTAAGGACCACACTCTGCTGCTCGACGACAACCTGCTCCAGCAGTACTCGCTGAGTAAGATTCCTCCCGAGGGCAAGCAGCCTAATTCGCACTTGTCGCTTCTGGCAATTGTGGACAGCTGGAGCTGTCTGGGCATTGTGCCGTACGACCACATCATATGCTCCACTCCGCTGTTTCGGATCTTTCTCGGCGTGACAGAGTATCTGTTTTGCACGCCTGGCCTTCTGGAGGAGTGTCTGGAGGACGGTCTGAGCAAGACCTCGTTCCGTCAGGACGATTTGAATTTTGTCATTGCCGCACGCGAATGGTCGAGCATCGTTTCGTTCGGAGACTACGGGCTGTACAAGGACAGGTTTGTTAAGACCCAAAATTTCTTCATGCCGATGATCGGCGAGGCTAACAAGACAGGCAATGAGATGATCAAGACGATTCTCCAGCGAGTGGCGGAGCGGGAGGGCGGCCCTGTCACAGGCCAAAATTAATTTAATTCGCACGGGACCAGTAGTGTCGAGACAATTCTGGTCTGTCGATCTCTGGTAGACGGCAGATGGCGTTAGAATGGTGCAGTAGGCCAATGCCACCGTAGCATGGCGCGCTCCGGGGCTAGGACGCCAGCTGAGCCCGGATGTGTGTTTTTACCGGATTTGGCCAGAAGCCGTGATTTGGCCAAAAGCCCAAGTTTTAAATATTTTCATAATAATATAAAGGCAAAACCATGGGAAACGTCTTTAGCGGCATTTTTGGGCGACTCTGGGGGGTGAACAAGGAGATCCGCATTCTCATTCTGGGTTTGGACGGCGCGGGCAAGACCACCATTCTGTATAAGCTGCAAATGGGCGAGGTGGTGAAGACTAAGCCTACGATCGGCTTCAACGTCGAAACATTAACATACAAAAACATATCGATCAACATGTGGGACCTGGGCGGACAAACGTCGATCCGTCCGTACTGGCGATGCTACTACGCCAACACCGCAGCAGTTATCTTTGTTGTCGATTCCACGGACAAGGAGCGTATAGAGGTGGCTAAAAAGGAACTACACATGATGCTGAAGGAGGACGAGCTCACAGACAGCGCATTGCTCGTGTTTGCCAACAAGCAGGACCAGCCGGGCGCCTTGACGGCGGCCGAGGTGTCGAAGGCCCTGGGACTGGTGGATCTGAAAGACCGCAGTTGGAGCATCGTTGCGTCCAGCGCCATCAAGGGCGAAGGGCTGTCCGAGGGCCTCGATTGGCTCATCGACGTGATTAAAGAGGAGCAGATGTAAAGTGTATTCTTAGTTGCTACGGCGAAAAATAAAAATAAATATTAATTTATTTGCCATGTTCCGCCTAGCGCTGCCAATTGTCCACAAGCGCAGCATCAGGCTGGCTCTTGGGGCCGGGGCCGGTGTGCTGACCGCGTACTGGTGCCAGAATTCACTTTTGAACGACGCAAGGGTGTCCAGAGGCCTGTACAAGAACCCTCTTGTTTTGAGCAACAAAAACCAGCTGGTGGTAGACTCTCAGCAGCCCACCTACGAGATGGGGCTCTATGCTGCCTCGCAAACGGAACTAGAAAACGAGTCCAACGAGATCCGCCGCGTGCAGAAGAGCCGCAAATACACCGGCTGGTTCTACTACATCAAGTACTGGCTGCTGGATTACATCTGGGAGCCGGTGATTACTGTCACGCGGTTTGTGGAGCTCACATCCCTATTTATACCTCTGCTTGCGACCTATCCGATAGTTTTCTTTGGCAAACGCAACAAGCAGGGCGACACCTCGGGAGCGTTGCTATGGTATCGGCTGGTTCGTCATCTGGCAGAGCTAGCGGGGGCCTCCTTCATCAAGCTTGGTCAATGGGCCGCCTCGCGTACCGATATATTTTCCAAAGGCCTGTGCGAGGAGCTGGCTCAATTGCACTCCAATGCAAAGTCCCACTCGTTCCGCTACACCAGACAGATCATTGAGAGCACCTTTGGCGGGAACAAGCTGGAGGAGGTGTTTGACGAGTTTGATCCCGTGCCTATTGGCTGTGGAGCCATTGCGCAAGTGTACAAGGCGAAGCTCAACAAGAAGTTTGCCGAGGACGACCACGAGCAATACGTTGCTGTCAAGGTTGTGCATCCAAACATTGAGGTCAAAATTGAGAGAGACCTGCGCCTTATGCGGTTCTTTGCGAACGCGATAGACGTCATTCCTACCATGGAGTGGCTCTCTTTACCTCAAGAGGTGGAACAGTTCTCTATCTTGATGAAGATGCAGCTTGACCTCAGAATAGAGGGCCACAACTTGCTGAGGTTCAAGGAAAAGTTCCCTGGCGACGAGATCCGTTTCCCAAAGCCGTTCATGAATATTAGTTCGCGAAAAGTGCTCGTGGAACAGGAAATCAAAGGCCTCTCGATGACAAAGATACTAGACCTCACCAAAGGAGGTAAACACATCACCAAAGAGGTCAGCGACAGCATGATAGACGCTTTCCTCAAAATGCTTATTTTAGACAACTTTATTCATGCCGACTTGCACCCGGGCAATATTTTTGTTCGCTTTGTGCAGCGGGATAGAAAGACGCGCAAGGTCACCTCGGACGAGCTGGAGACAGACCAGCTGATGGCTCGTCTGCGCAAGATCAACCATGCGTCTGAGCTGATGGCGGAGCTCGACAAACTGGATGAAGAGGGCTACCATCCTCAAATATGTCTGATCGACGCGGGTCTGGTGACAGAGCTTGATGACACCGATAGATACAACTTCATCTCGTTGTTCAATGCTCTGTCGCAGTTTGACGGCTACCAGGCAGGCACGCTGATGATAGAGCGCTCGAAAACACCAGGATCGGCCATTGACACGGAAGTGTTCAAAATGAAGGTAGAGAGACTTGTCAATAGAGTGAAACAGCGGACATTCACACTGGGATCGATTTCAATTGGAGACTTGCTAGACCAAATGCTCGGCATGGTGCGCTCGCACCATGTCCGCATGGACGGGGACTTCATCACGGTGATAGTGGCAATATTGCTCATGGAAGGTATCGGACGCCAACTGGATCCGGACCTCGACCTTTTTGCGAGGTGTGTATTTGCATGGAATGTGGGCTTCCCCACGTACTGAATGAATACTAACAAGGCATAGATCGTTGCCAATCTTGCGGAAACTTAGTTTCCAGGATGGTAAACTAATACTACAGAACAGCGACAAGCTACACATGCTTAAGATCTGGATGACGCTCGAGGCCAGACAGTTTGTCAACGCATCCGTGCACGATGTAAGTACCAGCATTGTTTTTACTAACACATCAGGTTTACCGTCTCGTCAAGAGCGACGGCCTCTGTCCGGACTATTAGGACTGGTAGCAACGAGAACACGTGTGGTGTGAGGTGTATAGAGTGTAGGCGGACGGTGCGAGGCGTGACGCTGCTCACGTGGAGAAGAGTCGTATAAATCTCAGGTACGCCAGACAATAATAGTTGTTTAGATTTCATCGTTAGTTGGACATGAAGTTTGGAAAGACGTTCCTGGGGCACCAGGTCCCGGAATGGCAACACTCGTACATGAATTACAAGGCCCTGAAAAAACAGATCAAGGCCATTTCCCAGCAGCAGTTAGAGCTCTTGGCAAAAGACCCCGAGGCGGACACTTTGAACGACCCCGACATTCGGGCAGAGCTCGCTTCTTTTTTCTTCAATCTTGACCGAAATATAGAAAAAGTTGACGATTTTTACAACAAGCAGTACAATGAGTACGAGAGGCGTCTCAAGAAGATAACAAGTGTTCTGGCGCCGTCACAGCTGCAGTTCAATGACGACGAAGAGGCAGACGAGGTGATAGGCATCATGCTCGAGTTGCGCAACTGTTTCCGTAACCTGAAATGGTTTGGCGAGCTGAACAGACGCGGCTTTCGGAAGATTCTCAAAAAGCTCGATAAGAAAGTCGGAACCAACCGGCAGGAAGTCTACCTCAGTGCTCGTATTTACCCGCTGCCTTTCTCCAACGAGTCTGACATCATCCGTAATTTGAATCAGATCAATTTGTATCTGAACCAGCTGCTTCCTTCCAACGAGACTAACAAGAACCCTATTCCGATCGACATGTACAATGAAACGGCTGTGCAACAGGCAAACAAGAACATGAACTCCTCTGCTGCATCGTCGATCTCCAATATAGACATGAACATAATCAGCTCGTCGTCGTCGTCCCTTTTACCACCGGCAGGCCCTTACAACGGAGGCGTCAAGCCCTTCAAACCTACCCCGATGGATAACTATCTGGAGCACATCCAGAAAGATGACCCCGAGAGCCTGAACCAGGCTTTGATCAAGGACTTTATGTCTCCTGTTCTTGCTCCCTTGAAGCTGCTGATTTCGCTGCTCAACAAGGCGACCCTGAACCTGAGCTATAAGTGTATCGACGAGCTTTTGGAGATCATCCCCATTTTGTCTGATTCTTCTGACATTAGCGGCAGAAACTTCATTCACCACCATGTCATTGCTCTGGGAAAACAGTATGTCAAGAAGAAGGAGCAGCAGGTGGAGAACCAGACCATCCCGGTGGCCCATACGCCTGCGGATATTAATTTCAGACTGGTGTCAACCTTTGGCCCCGACGGAATCAACTCGAATGATTCTTCGCAGGGTCTGCTGTACATTTTTGAGCACCTGCCTGCGCACTTGAAGTTTGCCATTTTGCAGAAAGACACGTACAAACGGACTCCACTCCACTACGCGGCACAATACGGCCTCAAACAGGTAACCCATATTATTCTTGAATTTCTGAAAAAATGGGGGCTTTACAACGAGAACATTTCTTTGGACGACAAACATGTGTGGGGGGACTCTGAGCTGCTGACGCCCTTGCATCTTTCAATTCTCGGCACCCACCCAAGGACCACAGCCGTACTGATTGATGCCATGAACGATAAGGTTGTTCTGACCTGTCCTGAGCTACTTCTCATAGCCACGCGACTGGACTCTCCGGAAATCATCGAGTCGCTACTCAGATGTAAAGGAGCCAGCATCGACTACGCAGACCCAGACACCAAGGAAACAGCGCTCTATATTGCAGCCAAGCTGGATCTCCGGAAATCTGTCGAGTTCCTGTTATCCAGGGGAGCAAACACAGAGCTGGGCGAGGCCACGTTTGGATGGACGCCTGTTTTCGTGGCGGCCGCTGAAGGATACAAAGACGTGGTCCAGCTACTTATCGATCATGGGGCCAAGTTTGATTTGCAAGACCTCAGCGGCTGGACGCCGCGAGAACACGCTTGCCTGAGAGGCCATCTGGACATTGCTCGGAGTCTCACTCCAAAGGACTACGATCCTTATAAGCTGCTGGAGTCCAAACCTATTTCTCCTGTGTTATCGCCGCAGACCAAGCCGTACAACATGAGCGAGCTGGCCACCAGTTTGGATAGGATTTCCGACAGCAACAACGACCACAACGTCCTCAAACATCTGAAACAGCAGCGATCTGCATCGCCAAACGCTCGTCCTGTCAAGTCTTTTGGTCACCAGTACTTGAAACCCAACGAGTCGCTGATTCTTATTACTCTGGGAACCACTGATCTAAGAGACAAGACGCCTGCGATTGACTTGAAGCGAGTTCCGTTGTCCAAGGCCCATAGCACCGAACTCGACACTGCGCTGTCGATCGTTATCAACGCCAAGAACTTGGACCAGCCGTCGGTGCTTTTGGATTTGCCGTTGGACGACAACCACGGAGGTGCCAGCGACCCTATTAGCTTCAAATGCGTCGATAAGGATCCTCTGGACACGGTGATTTTCTTCGACATAGTGCCTACATACCAGTCGGTGGAGGAAAATAAGGAGAAGAAGATTCTGGGGCGAGCAGCTGCTCTGCTACGGTCTGCGTACACCAAAGTGGGCCCGAATCTGCGGTCCCTGTCGAACTCGATCAGTCTGCCAATCCTGGAGTGCGACACGCTGGAGGTGCTGGGAACCATCAAGTTCGAGATCATGCTAATTACGCCGTTCAGACATCCAAAGATGGTGCTCGACAGACCAGAAACGTACTGGAAGTCTTTGGTTTCGTCACGAGTCATTGGCCACCGCGGAAACGGAATGAACAGCCGCGACCGTAAATCGCTGCAGCTTGGAGAAAACACGGTCGAGTCGTTTATTGCGGCAGCGTCGTTAGGAGCCTCGTATGTCGAGTTCGACGTTCAGCTGACCAAGGATCACGTTCCTGTCGTGTACCATGACTTTTTGGTCGCCGAGTCTGGCATGGACGTTCCTATGCATGCGCTGACTCTTGAGCAGTTCCTCGGACTCAATAATACTGACTCCAATAAGCAGAACGGCATCAAGGAGAGCAGAGACGACTACTACCTTTACAAGAAGTCACGTGGCCGGGCCGCGTCGTTCGAGCCGCACACGTCTGTTCCTAAGGAGAAGGATAGCGACGACATCTCGCCCGAGAACGAGCGGATGAAGCTCACCAAGACATGGAAACTCAAACAGTACAAGGGAAACTCGCGTGGGTCCTCGATTGCGTCCTCGTTTGTGACGTTGGTGGAGCTGTTCAAGAAAGTGCCGAAAAACGTCGGCTTCAATATCGAGTGCAAATATCCGATGCTGGACGAGGCCGAGCACGAGGACATGGGCCAGATCGCGATCGACCTGAACCATTACGTCGATACAGTGCTAAAAGTGGTGTATGAGAACGCGGATGGAAGAGACATCATTTTCTCGTCGTTCCACCCAGACGTGTGTGTGCTGCTTTCCTTGAAACAGCCATCGATCCCGATTTTGTACCTCACGGAGGCGGGGACACAGCCAATGGCCGACGTGCGGGCCAGTTCGCTGCAGAGCGCCATCAGATTTGCCCGCAAATGGAATTTGCTGGGAATCGTGTCTGCTGCCGACACCATTGTGACGTGTCCTAGACTCGCCTCCGTGGTGAAGGCGAGCGGACTGGTGTGCGTGACGTATGGCGCAGCAAACAACGACCCTGAAAACGCCAAGCTGGAGATGGCGGCAGGCGTGGATGCCGTCATCGTCGACAGCGTCCTGGCTGTGCGGAAAGAATTGACAAAGACACGAAACGATGACGTGAAATTGCTGAGTGGCTAAGCTCTGCTGCACATGCTACTGTGGTGTGCGGGTGTGCACACCTAGCACCACCAAAAAGCAACCGTTGCATATATATAGTGCTAGGGTGTGCAGAACATAAGATTAAATGTCTTCTACAATTCTTGCTTCCGGCATCCCATTGGAGGTGTCAGACTCCGAGGTGGAGGAGTTTTTCAATTTCTGCGGCAAGACCAAGACGATAGCCACCGTCGACAAGAACGAAAAGACCAAGACGGTCAAGGTGGAGTTTGTGAATGCGAGTGCTGTTTCCACGGCACTGTTGTTGAACGGTGCCGAGCTAGGTGGCGGCAACATTAAGGTCATTGGCGAGGGCCTGGCCAAGCAGCCTATTGTGCCGACGAGCGAGCTGAAGCCGGCTGAGGTGAGCGCTCCAGCTAGTGGCGACATTCCGCAGGAAGATAAGCCCAAGACAACGATTTTGGCCGAGTACCTGTCGCAAGGGTACGCCCTTTCGGACGGGCTTGTGCAGAAGGCGGTCGAGTTTGACCAGAAGAACGGCATCTCGTCAAACTTCAAACAATTTCTGTCGAATTTGGACTCCAAGTACCATATCCAGGACAAGAACCAGCAGCTGCTAAACCAGGCCAACTCACAGCTTGGTCTGGATAGCAAGATTGCTATTGGCCGCACAAAGCTCGATAGCTATTTCGACAAGTTCAAGAACGACAAGCTGGGCTCGAGAATCCACAAGTTCTACACAGAGGTGGCCAGTGACGCGAAACAGGTGCACGAGGAGGCCAAGCGGCTAGCCGAGCTGAAGAAGGCCGGTCACCACTCGAACATCACGCCAGAGTCCACGACTGTCCAGCTGGCAGCCCAGGTTCCGCTGGAAGAGAGTAAGTAAGAGATTAAGTAATGGTACGAATATTCCGTTTTCGGCAACATGTCCTAATCGAGCAACCCTATTTGGGGTAGCGAAATTTCAAGTGCAGCATTTATTGCTAAGAAATACTAAGACAATTAATCAATGCCGTCCGCAGAAATCGCAGACCTGTTGACGCCGTCGCCCTCCAAGTCGACCAGGACTGGTGTGGTGACCCAATTGAAGCGTGTGGCCAGCGCTTCCAAGGACAATATCTGGGTTTCTCCGTTCCGTCCAAAAGGAAGGAGCCCTCACGCAGCACCAAAGCAGGAGAAGACCAAGGAAAACGAGCCACTGACAGAACCAGCCACGGAGCAGAAATCGGATGCCGAGTCAGAGACACAGGAGGCGAAGCAGGAAGAAGCTGTGGAGCCACAGACAGAGACGACAGACACACAGAAGCCTGCTGAGCCAGAAAACGAGCCTGTTGCAGACACTGCCTCCGAAGAGGCGCTTGAGGAGACGACAGGCGACGTGGTGGAGGACGAAGAGCCGATAGGCGAGACTGAGCCGGCTGGCCAGTCGGAGCCGCTTGTTGCGCCCGCCGACGAGATCGAGGCGACCTTCGACAAGCCCAAGATGCTCAATCGGTACAAGGAAAACAAGCTTTTAGCGTCGCAGGCACTGAACAATACACAGGTGCAAAATATGGACCGAGTGCTAAATCTCGGTGCTGGGCTGAAGCTGACCGAGGCGCAAATCTACGAAATTGCTAAAAAGAGAGTTGCTCCAGTTTTGAAACAGGTGGACGAGCAAGTGCAGGAGAACTTCAAGCGGGACGAATTGCGTGCCAAGGAGGAAGAGGAGAAGTTTGTCAAGAAAGATGAGTCGAAGCTTGCCAAAGAGCTCAAGAAGTACACTGCTGCCATCGAGAAGGAGAACGCTGCCATTATGGCCTCGTTTGCCAAGCCAATGAAGAAGCTTGACGAGGACATGGCTGCCAGCAAGAAGGCGTACGAGCAGTATATTGCCGATGTGAAGGCCAAGATCGATCAGGACGCCATCGACTACGAGGAGGCCGAGAAAAAGGCTGCTGAGAAGCACGTGACCGACAAAGAGGGGCTGCACGAGCGTGCCGAGCAGCGCAGGCAAGAGCTGACGGAGGCCCTGGCCCACGCCAAGGAGCAACAGGAGGTCGAGACTCAGAAGGAGAAGGAAGTGCGCGCTTTGGGCGAGGAGTACAAGCAGAAGGCTGATGAGGCAGAGAGCCAGCTGAGCGAGAAGGAGAAAGAGCTCGAGGACAAGATTGCGCTGTTGGAGGGGCTTGTTTCGTCAAAGTACGAGAAACAGGTCACCATTGCTGGGGCCACAAGAAAGAAGCTCGAGGCAGAGCGCAAGGTGGCCATTATTGATGCCCAGCATGCGCAGGCCAAGAGCAATGCCGACAAACTGCAGGAGCATGTTAATTTGATCCAGAGCCATGTGGACCAGCACCAGGCAAAGAAGGAGCATTTGAGTACCGAGGGCCAGAAACAGCTGGACGAGAAGCGTAGCGCAGCAGAAAAGGCAATTGAGGACTGGGAGCTTGAGAAGCAACAGATGAGAACTGAAGAAGCCAGAAGGCAGGAGCGGTTGCGCATTGAGGCTGAGGCCGAGCGCAAGCGGCTTGCGGAGGAGGAGGAGAGAAAGAGAAAGGAGGAGGAGCTTGCTGCTCAGCGGAAGGAGCAGGAGGAGAGAGAGGCGAAAGAGAGAAAAGAGCAGGAGGAGAAGGAGAAGCAGCACAGTGCCGCTGGAGCTGTTGGCGTTGGGGCCGCTGCAGGTGTTGTTGGTGCAGATGTTCAGGCCAAAAATGCCGGCAGCCAGAGCGTTCCAGGCATTAAGAGTTCTCAGCTAGAAGGCAACACTGCTCAGAAGTCATCTGATGAGCCAAATCCGGAAACCGCTGCGTCGATTACTCCTGTGGCCGATTCTGGCAAGCCAGATGAGAACGTTTCCAAAGATGTTGCTGCCGTTGCCGAACCTACTGCCGACGCAAGCTCGCCATCGTCTACTGAATCCAGCAAGCCTAGCAAGTCGAAAGCACCGTCGGAGGTGATCACCACGGTGACCGCCACGGGAGCCGCGGCCGACGTTGCTGCGGCCGCGATTGACGCTGCCGGCATTGACGCTGTCACAGAGCAGCTCGAGAAAGGTGCCGACGTGGCCGATATTGCCAAGCTCGCAGAAACCAAGAGGTCCGTCGAACCTATCCAGGAGGAGCCAGAGATCAAGAACGGAACCACTATTGCGTCAGCCTCGACCCCGGGCGCCTTTGTGGCTCCAATTACTACTTCTGTCCCTGCTGTCTCTGCTCCAGGCTCTCCATCCACTCCTAAAAAGGTGGACTCTTTGGAGGGGGCCAGTACGTTAGGTTCCAAGACCAAGTCGAAATCCAGAGCCAATTCTTTGACTAAGAAGCTGTTCCCGCTGTCGAGAAGTAGCAGCAAGAAGCAGGAGCCCAAACAAAATTCTGCCACCAGCGAGACTCCTCAGCCAGAAAGTGCCGTTCCTCCAGTCACGTACAAGTCGTTGGACCCTGCTGCCTCCGAGGAGTCTCCTCCGGTGACTGCTAAAGGCGAAGGTGACTTCGACTCGATCGATGCCCGGACGCGAGCCAAGCCGGTGTTCACAGAGGTTGTTGACAACGACGATTACCAGGAGGTAATCACGTACGAGACTGTGGACTCGGCTGAGTACGAGAAAAACAAGCACGATCCAAACTACATGAAGGTGCCTGCGGACGAGTAAGAAGTGTATTTTTGTGTAAGAATCTGACATTGTATTTTTGGGTAGCACATCTATTTGTAGGCAAAGCCCTTCTTCTCGAAAGACCACGAGTCGTCTCTGATTCTTCCTCTCAAAACTGGAATCTCGGAACCTGGAACGTACACGTCTTCGAAGAGGATGTCCATCTTGGCCTCTGGTGGTGGCGAGATCTCTGCCTCCTTAACTTGCTCGTCAACGTACTTTCTGGCAGATTTGTCAAAGGCCTTGATTTCGTCCTCGGTAGCAATGCCAAACTCCAAAAGATGAGCCTTGAGGCCAGAGATAGGATCGTTTCTCGATCTCATGTTCTGCACCTCCTCTCTGGTTCTGTAGGTGGTACCTGGGTCGGACATGGAGTGTCCTCCGTATCTGTAGGTCTCGTATTCCAGCACCAGTGGCCCGTTACCGGATATACACCAGTCCTTGGCGAACTTGGAGGCCTGGTAAACGGCGAGGATATCCATACCGTTGACCTTCAGACCAGGAATGTATTGACCTCTCTTGTAGTACTCGACCATGGCCGAGGATCTCGAGGCAGACGTACCCATACCGTACTTGTTGTTTTCACAAGCAAAAACACATGGCAGGTTCCATAGCTTGGCCATGTTGAAGGACTCGAACACCTGACCTTGATTGGCGGCACCATCTCCGTACAAAGTGAACGTGCAGTTTGGTTTGTCTCTGTATTGGTGGGCAAAGGCAAGACCTGCTCCCAATGGCACCTGCGCTCCCACAATACCGTTTCCTCCGTAGAATCCTGGGGCGTACATGTGCATGGATCCTCCCTTACCGTACGAGACACCACATCTCTTTCCCATCAGCTCCCCAAGGACCGCCTTCACTGGGGCTCCTCTCATGTAAGTGAAGCCGTGGCATCTGTACGAGGTAATCACATCGTCGTTACCATCAATGGCATTTTCAATACCCACTGCAATGGCCTCCTGTCCAACAGAAAGATGGCAGAAACCTCTGATCTTCTTGGCCTTGTAAAGAGCGTCGGCAGCCATCTCCATTCGTCTAATAATGACCATGTCTTTATACATTTGGAGCAGGGTGCTCTTTTCGGTTTCGAAAGTCAACTCTGGTGCGTCCAACTCATATGTCTCGAATGAGGTTTCTGGCAAATCAATTCTCACAATGTCGGACTCGGTGGCCAGTGTTCTGGCCAGTCTCGGAGAGACGCGAATTGGAGCTCTCTTGGATAAAAATCTCAGCATTGAAGTATTATGAGGAGAAGTGCTAAAAGATAAGGTGGTCTGTTATCCCCTCTAATAAAAAATTCTTGAGCCGTGAGGTTTCGGAAAGCAAATTTCCAGTGTCGCTTGTCGACGGTCGAGAGAAAAATTGGGAGTTGCGACAGAATAGTTTGTTGTGCTTATATAACTGTTTAAAAGAAAAATATTACAAAAAAATATATCTAGTACATGTCCTCCAATTCCCAGTACAAGTACGACGAAATGTCCAATAAGGTCCTGCGGGCCAACCGACGATTGATGGATGACAGAGGCGAGGCTTCTGTCTTGACCACTCCCCAGAGCGTGATTGGTAAGATCAGCATTGAGGAGATGGGCTCAAGAGTTGAAAGGGAGACAAAAGAAGCTCCTCTACGGGTGGCAAAGAAAAAGAAGAAGATTAACCGTTCGATGAGGACGCTCCTTGACACCTCTATTGAGGAGCTGACTTATGTGCCTACGAGTGAAAAATCTCAGCAAATATACGAGGACCTGCTGGCTTGGTGCTCAGAACAATTGGATAGCGACGTTCCAGGAGACATTGTCCAGTCGATGGCCGACATCATTCTAGAGATTTTGAAAAATGAACGACTGACAGATCTGCAGCGAAAGAGTACTATTGAAGAAACTATGGGTAAAAGGCTTGAGGACGAGGATTTTCAAAAAGTTCTGGATTTGAGTAAGGAAATAGACGATTGGAAACGTCCCGACGGCGACGGTGAAGGGGGCATAATCATAGATGAGGAGGATGAAGATGCTGCAGAAAACGAAGAAGAAGACGAAGAAGACGACGAAGACGAAGAAGACGAAGAAGAGCCTTTTGAAGCTCAAGAAATTGACGACGACGTTCTTTTACTTACTGCTGACGGTTCTGCCGACACTGAGGAGTTCGATATCAAGTCAATTGATAAGTATTGGCTTACACGACTACTTGCTCAAGAGTTCAAGGATCTTGACTCCTACAGACACACAGAACTTTCTCAGAGCATCAATGAACTGCTCACCAAATTTGCTGAGGAGGAACTCGATAAGCGCAAATTGGAGTCTAGTCTTCTTCAGTTGTTTGATTATGAGTCCAATGACACAGTGAGGAAGATTACAAAGCATCCATTGGAGATATATTTTGCTATCAAGCTTTCTCAAGCCTCAGAGGCAGAAAAGTCACAGATATTTGACACCATGATTTCTAGAGGATTGGAGTTTTGGGTAAACCAGTATAAGGGCATCAGGAAACATACCGACGAAGAGACAGGAACTAAACGACAGAAACTAACTGACACACAAAAGAAGGATGTCCAAAAACAAGTGCCTAGATACATTGATATTGAGAGCCTGATTTTCGAGCAAGGCTCGCATCTCATGACTAACACCAAATTTCAGCTTCCTCAAGGGTCTTTCAAACGCGCTCGCAAAAGCTGGGAGGAAATACATATACCTCCTCCTAAGAAACCTGAATTTCAGGCTGACGAGAAACTTATTGACATTACTGAGCTGCCGGAATGGGCGCAAACGGCATTTCCTTCAAACGAAACCACAACTCTTAATAGAATACAGTCCAAAGTTTATCCGGCAGCCTTTCATGACGATACGAACATACTAATGTGTGCTCCTACGGGAGCAGGTAAGACCAATGTTGCTATGCTGGCAGTTTTGCGAACGATTTCCAAGTTTATGAGTGACGATGAAACCATACGTCTGAACGACTTCAAAATTGTATACATTGCTCCTTTGAAAGCTTTGGTGCAAGAACAGGTGCGCGAATTCCAAAGAAGACTCAGTCAGTTCAATATAACTGTAAACGAGCTGACAGGTGACTCCAATCTCACTAAACACCAGATTGCTACCACCCAAATATTGGTTACGACTCCAGAAAAATGGGATGTGATCACGAGAAAGATGAACGATGCGTCCTATGTTCGGTTAGTCAGGCTGATCATTCTCGATGAAGTTCATCTGTTGCACGATATAAGAGGACCGGTTTTGGAGAGTATTGTTGCAAGAACTCTCAAATACACGGATGACAACAATGAGGAACCGGTGAGGCTGGTCGGATTATCTGCTACGTTACCGAACTATGTTGATGTTGCCAGGTTTTTGCGAGTGGAAGAAAAAGGTTTGTTCTATTTCGACGCGACCTACCGTCCATGTCCGCTGGCTCAGCAATTTGTTGGCATTACGGAGAAGAAGTCATTGAAGCGCTTTCAAGCAATGAACGAGGTGTGTTACGATAAAGTTGTGGAAAACCTTTCCAACGGACACCAGGTGATAATTTTTGTTCATTCGAGGAAAGAGACGGAGAAAACAGCTAAATGGATAGTGGACAAGCTGATCGAAACAGAGAGAGTGACGGATTTGATCAAGTTCACTCCAGGGGTCCAAGAGATTCTGAGAACTGAGGCTCAAGAAGCGGCAAATGAGGGTCTCAAAAACGTACTACCCATGGGCTTTGGAATCCATCACGCCGGCATGAACAAGAAAGATAGATCTACGACCGAGGACCTTTTTGCCCAAGGATATCTGAAGGTGCTTGTTTCCACCGCAACTTTGGCGTGGGGTGTCAATCTGCCTGCGCACACAGTCATTATCAAAGGTACTAATGTTTACTCTCCTGAAAAAGGTACATGGGTTGAGCTCTCGCCTCAGGATATTCTTCAAATGCTAGGAAGAGCTGGGAGACCAAGATACGATACTCATGGTGAGGGTATTATAATCACCAACCAAGACGAGGTGAAATATTACCTTGCCATATTGAACCAGCAGCTGCCAATCGAATCCCAGCTTATCTCGAAGCTTGTGGACAACCTCAATGCCGAAATAGTGCTGGGCACAATTCAGTCTTTAGAGGACTGCATAAAATGGCTAGGTTACACCTATCTCTATGTCCGCATGTCGCACTCACGCAGCTTGTACCATGTTGGGATGGAGTACGATAATGACACGGACTTGGTCGAAAGAAGGCGTGATCTGGCGTACTCCGCTCTTCTGCTGCTGGCAAAAAACGGGTTGATAAAGTACAGCTTTGAAAAAGACCAAATCACGACCACTAACATGGGCCCTATCGCATCGCATTACTATATTTCTTACCGAAGCATTCGAAACTACTCGAAACACCTCAATCCGGATATGAACGAAAGTGATCTGTTTAGGATGTTCGCAAGCAGTGAGGAATTCAAATACATTCCCGTCAGACAGGAAGAAAAGATGGAAATCAAGAAATTGATGGAAAGAGCGCCAATACCGGTGAGCGAGTCAAACGAAGACCCGCTTGCAAAAATTAGCATTCTCCTTCAGGCGTATATTTCACAGCTTCGCCTTGAGGGCTTTGCTTTAATGGCAGACATGATCTATGTAGTTCAGTCTGCAGGGCGTCTGTTCCGGGCCATGCTGGAAATGGCCCTAAAGAAAGGCTGGCCTCGGCTTGCTGTTCTACTGATGGACCTATGCAAAATCATTGAAAGACGTTTATGGCTGACGAACTCGCCGTTCCGTCAATTTCCCAAGGCTCCTTTTGAAATCATACAAACAACCGAACGGTCTATGACTCCTTGGAAGTACTATCTGCGTCTTTCTGATGAATTCGAGGTTGCCCAGGCTTTAAAGTCTGAGCGGTTCGGACGAATAGGGTTTGAGCTACTTCAGAAATTTCCTAGATTGACAATGTCATGTCAAGCCCAGCCGATTACTCCGTCATTGCTGAAGGTGGAGGCAGAAATCATCCCTTCGTGGAAATGGGACTATGATATTCACGGGTGGAGTGAGCAATTCATTCTTCTTGTGGAAGATTGCGAT